TCCCTAAATTATAAACAAAAGCAATCTCTTCATTGCAGTTGAAATTGTCTTTTAATATGAAATATCCAGCAAGTGGCTTATCCTTAAGTTCATTAAACTCATTTGCCCTTCTCAAATGGAAGGTAATATTGCATACTTACTGGATATCTTATTTTCTACATGTATTATTATTTATCCTGAGGACAGTTCAGAATGAAATGTGATATTGTGACTGATAGCCAAACAATGCAGAAGACCAAAATTACCACATGTATTGCAACATCCCATATTAAGATTACTTACGATGAACCTTGTTCTTTTACTCCATTTAAAAAATAATACTCTAAGAACGCCCTGCATATTTACCTTTTGGTCAGTTGAATAGTTCACAAGTAATTCATTCCAAAAATGGCTTCACTGACCCTTGTTGATTGACTGCTTGTGCAGTAATGTGCTCTTCAGAATCTGCTCCTTTATAGCTATTGCCAAATATTATTTCATATTTTTGAGTGTATGTTCAAAACACACTGTCAACTGCTTCACTGGAGTTAGTAGTAAAGCAGAAAAAGTTTTATGACATCTGTAACTAATATTCCAGGTTGTCTATTGGGAACAAATTCTTTTCTAATAGATTTTTTTTTTTTAAGAACTAACTTACTTTTTCTTAAGATTTTGATGTGGTGAGAAAAAAAAGCCCCCAAAAAACATCTCCACAGAATGGTACCACTTACCAACAGGATAAAGAACAAAAGCCTCTGCCTTTGTTCTGCTGTGTTCTTATTCTGAGCTTGGGACCAGTTTCAGAAAAAAAAAAAAAAAAAAAAAAAAGGCAAATGTTCTGTATCAGCATAAGATAGTAATGAAGAGAGCCACTTACAAGACTTTCCACAGAGGTTTCAGTGTCCGATGTTGCCCATCTGTTTCTCTGTCAGTTCTGGTACATTCACACTTTAGGAAGCCTCATCTGCTGTCCTCCTGTCGGTTCTTTGTGGGAGTTCACAGTGAGGTTGCCACTTCATCTGAAAGTCAGGTGGCTCAATAGATAAGAGGGTTCCTAAAAATGTGGTGTGCTTGGCATTTGCCATTTACTTTGGTGAAACCCTACACAGGAAGGCTGGTGTGAGACCTGTATAGTGAACAGCTGGGAATTTCTCCTTAAGTAGTCTGTCTGCATGGAAACCTGTTGTTTGTATAGATACCTGTTTCAGAAATAAATGTTTCTGAGGGGGAATGGCCAGATTTTCCCCAAAGTTTTCCAAGGGCAGTTTTGTGCATGGCAGTGCTAAAGGCTTTTAAACACTCATATGGAACACAGAGTCGATGCGGTGAACACAACAAAGAAAGATCTAATTTTTAATTCTTCCAGTATCTCCTAATACCATTTGCAACTGTGGTTTTATCATATTCAGATACTTTTCTTGCCAGGAAACTTATGATTCTGCCATACTTTCAGGCAGCTAGCATTGGAAAGTTTGCTCGTGCTATGCAGTTAGGGTAATTCTCAGAGGATGTTTATTATTTGGAAAGCAGAGTTCCATACAGGATGAGGGATTCTTACTACAATTAGTTCCCAAATTAATGTATCACTGTTTAAGTAGATCCAGATTTGTTGGCCTACATCTTCTCTACAAGAAACACATTTCTTTTTTCTTATCTGAGATGGCATCTGGGGACTTGGACGCCTCCTTGTATCAGTTTAAATACCTGTGAACAAAGACATACATGGATTTGCAAAGTCAGACTGGTTTGTTACCCTACCTGTCCCAGAAAAGAATGAAAGGGACAAATTTGGATAATGTGCTTGATAAAGTGTGAAGGTGTGCCATCTCCTGTACTTTTTTATAGAAGGGGAAAAAGAATTAGGGAGAATAGAAGGAGACTACAGGTGTGAGAGTGGAGACACACCTTGCATTTTGTTTATCCCCATTGTTATTGAAGAGTGAAAATGTAAGAGACCATCTAACTGCCTCAACAGAGCAGACAATAAAAAACTTGGTATTTTTTTAGTTTAGGTCTGCCTTGCCAAATGCAAGCATGTAGATATTGCTTCTTGATACATTTATATGTATTTGTTGTTTATTGACATACTTAATTTTTGATTAGTTACATTGCCTGTAAGAGTACGTGATTTTACAACATATATACTCATAGGCGGGTTATTTTGAGCTCCTAAATCCTTAATGCAAGTAATCTAGTCTTCTGAAGGAGAAAACAGTTAGCCGTCAGAGATGGAGGCAGAACTGGTACCCAGTCGAGGTACCAGTCGAGGTACCCAGTCTGTCACATTGGTTGTGCTAATATAGGTGCTATTCAAGCCACGTCGAAGTGATGTACCGTCTGGCACAGAGGCAAGTGCTGCCATTTGGGGCACTGCCAAATGTAGGTCCCACAACTGTTTAGTTGGAGCCTGGTGAGGGGATCCATGGTTGGTCAGGTGGGATCTACTCTCTTTACTGTGTTTAGGAAGTCTAATACACGTCTGAAACACAGTTTGGTTCTCTGGAGTTCCTTCCTCTGAAAGAATGGAAAAATTGACTTACAAAGCTTGTATTATGTCTCTGCTGGATATGTATTATAACTGAGATGCTTATATACTGTAGCAATAGTAACTATAAACATTGTTCAATGGGTTCACTGTCCTTTGGATTATTTTTTTTAACCATGGAAGCGTTCTTTCATTGTCCTCCATGCTGGGCTAATAAATTATCTGTTGTTTGCAATTGCTGCCGCCATTTGTAATCAGTCTGGTCTTGGTAATTCATTCCTCCCAACATTTGAATGTAGTTTCAGGCTGTCAAAATCCATAGATAATTTTTGTATTTTTTAAAACGTCGCTTGAAATATGGAAAGAGGGAGAACATCTCTTCATGACAATATGATGTTTGCTAGGAAATTAGTATAGTGTATGAAAAAGCATCAAATATAAAGACAAAATTCTGCTTAAATCGTTAGTCTGAACTTTTTATACTGAAGCAGTGTATGTAGAAACTAAGCTTTGTTAGAGCTGTTCATAGCAGCCTCCAGCTACAAGTTGCTTGAGATACACCTCTTGCATAGAGAGTGGGGGGAAACAGTGACAACATGGGGCTTGGTTGGCGCAGAAAGCTTTTTCCGTCCTCTGTTCCTCTGGTTGCTTTGTCGGCAAGCACCCTGATCCTGATGAGGGTGGCTGGCTCTGCTGGGAAGGGCTGACCCATGCCGCTGGGAACACTGTCGGGAACGGGACCCACAGTGGCACAGCAGCACGTCTCTGGCCGGAGAGCCTCCTGCCCAAAGCGTGGCAGCACTAATAACTGGTTTGCTGGAGGAGGTGGACAATATTGTCACAACCAGAATGTTATAAAATAACCTTTGCTTGCTGCCCTGTAGAGCTTTGAGGGTAGGGAGGATTTCCAGGGTGAGAAAAGCAATGTATCACACAGGTCACCTCACAGGACTTGCTCAAGGCTTTGAGCATGCCTCCATCCAGATGCTTCTTGTAAGAAGTGAGCAGCAACCAAATCACCATCCTGGCCAGAGTCAGTTTCCTCTATGATTTTTGCTCCTCACCAGTTCCCTCCCTCAGAAACCACTTTTCTGTTTTCTGAATGAGTCCAACTACAGGGTTAATGCAGTGCAGAGAACCTGGGAGAGCAAGTTCCCCAAGAGGTGCAGCAGACCAGAAAACAAATGGATAAGTGAAAATGCTGCAAAGATTTCTCATAAGTGAATTCACTTTTCTGAGTTTTCATACTCTTGGACATGTATGATTTTTGTCAGGTTAGCTGTGCAAATGACTACATGGAAAAGGCCCCAAAGAGGGGTTTTTATGACAAAAAGATGTTTCAAATAATTTAAGTGCTTGTAGTTAAGGACATAAAGGTACTAAATACTTTGCCTAAAAATGAGGCCCAGAACACTGTAAAGAAGGAAACAAGAAATACCACAAAAGCCAGAATATTCAAAAGTCAGCTTAAATTTGTGGAAATACATTTTGGAGAGTTGAGAGTGCATAAAACATGTTATGTTTGCCTTCCAGCATCTCCTCAGATTTCCCACTTTGGATAAATTGATAGCTGTGCTAGGTTTTAAACATTTCTCAGCTTCTTGTTTTCTTCTAAATGGAATGGCTAATAAACACCTGATATAACATCTGTAAAAACCAGTTAAACTTTTCTGGCAGATTTTACAGGGCTTCGGGTAAGGTTAATGTATCATTTTGGAGAAGGAGTTATACAGCCAGATTTCTCTCTAATTACATAGCTGGTAGATGGAAATTCTAAACAGTGGCAGTTACATGAGGATCTGCTGTTACACTGTGGAAAGAACAATTGTCTCTTGACAGCCAGGGGAAACATGAGAGGGAAAATCTGCTGGGCAGAAAAGTGATTTCTACTGATGCACTTCTCTGGGGAGAGAATGCAGGGGGGTTTATGGAGCCTTTGAATAGAAAAAAGTGTCTGGTAATACTGGGTGCCTCAATTTTGCAGTGATTACACTGACATGCTGAATTTTAGAAAATACTGAACACTGTCCTTCTGAAAATTTGTCCTTTTCAAATATCTTCATGTTGAACATCCAAAATAGGAAGCTGTTCAAAATCACTGGTCAGTTTTGAAACTCTTGCTCATTAAATGTATAAAATTAGGAACAGCAAAAAACTACAATGTGCAAATATGAGACACTGTAATTTTTAAATAAAGTCATTTGTATTTTAAAAACAAGAGTTGTTTTCATATTGGTTATGGTTATAGGAATTGTAAGGGAAAATAATTTTGGCATGTGCAAAATTTATGAATTCATATTAATTAAGAAAAGCTCAAAGAAAACTGTGGCTCCCTGGCAGTGAATGTATGACAGTGAGCTCTCTGTCAGGAAAACACCCCAAAAGTAGGTAGGCATACCTGTTTGCTAAAGACTTCGGTTTGTATTTGTGTCAGATGCTAAATGGTAAAGCTATTTCTGTCATGTTTTAAGCAGCATGGGTAGTCTAAACATGTTCAATAGGTCTAGTGACCTTTTCCTAAGTAATGGAAAACTTTCAGCTGTGCCAGTGCAGTATATTTATACCAATATTATTTACAGGTCTTGCCCTCCTTGCTACTTCTTCTTAGAACTGTCCTTGAATGAAAAATAAACGTGTCAGGTTTTTAATACAATTAAAGTGGCTATAAACATTCTTAAAAATAGAAATGTATTCTTAGCCTTGTGTACTTTAGCTGATTTCTGTGTCTTCAACAACTGTTTTTTCTGTGATAGATTGACAGATAATCTGTGAAGTGGTTCTGTATCAAATACATTGATGTGTACCCTAAAGCAAGTATGCAATAATTTGAAGAGAAAGGTTTTGAAATTCATATTCATCTATTAATTATTTACGTATTTGTAGTCCAGCTGATTTTTAAGAACATACTGAGGTCTGCCAGTTTCTCATGATGCATCCTGGATCCTGCTTACGGAGAATTCCTACAAACAGTACACGTGTGGTGACTGCTGAAAGTCCCCCACAGAAGGCAGAGAAGTTGTGGGTTACTGCAGAGTTGTAATAACAAAAAGCACTGCAACTCAGTAGAGGACCTATAAAAAACAGTTTTGTGAAGAGCAATTTTAACAGATAGTTTTACCTTTTAATTATTCTCCGTGAATACTGAGCATGTATCATTTAAATTCTGTATGTCTCCCCAGTCCTGATTATATCCCATCTGTTTATCTGCTCCCTGAAGTATGGCATCCAAACCCAGGAACAACATTACCACTCTGACCTCATCAGGGCTAAGCAGAACAGCATAAATGACCTCCCTATGTGACCCAGAACTGTAACGTTGCCTTTCTAAGTCATTACTGTATACTGTACAACATCTCAATGGGTATGTGTTCAAAATCCCATTTTCTTTATAACCATGGAACAATTATTGTCCGTCCCTAATGATATGTTTTCTCTCACATAGACATTCCCTTCTTTCCTGTAATTCTTTTATTTTGCACACCTTCAGTCAGCTCCACCTGGACTTTTAACAGACCAGTGCTTTGTATTTGATTCCAGTCACTAATTTATGCTCTCAGCAAACAATATGACTTTTGATTGATAGCTGCTGAAGGAAGAAGAAAAAGACCTGCACAAAAACTTCTGGATGAAATTAAGAAGTTATTTTTACATTGGAGGTAGGGATGGAGAATGAAGTGCAGTGCCAGGACTTCAGGTTGCATTTATTTCCAGTGAAGTGAATCTCCATCTTTCATTTAAAAATAAGCTATACTCAGATCTTTGGATAAAGATGTTAGAAAGTTAAAGTGTACTTAACTTTCAGACTGTGTTGTCTGATTATCCTAGCTGGCCTGACTTCCAAACTCCCTTGAAAACAGACCTAGTATTTTTTATTTTTTACATTGGACAGATATCTGAAAGACCTGATTCATCCCTCTTAAGGACATCATTGCAAATGGAAGGTGGAAATCATTACATCTTGGGGCACTAATCTGGTACAATCATATATCCTCACAATTTTTTCCAGGGAATATTCCATTGTGAGAGAAGAGTTTGCTCTATCAGAATAGGGACCTACTCCCCATCTGTTCCAAAGGGCAATCTGTTCCTCAGTCTTCTTTGTGATTACATTTATACAGGAAGGCATACTGAAAAGCAACTATCTGTCCAACTATATGTGTGATGGGATTTACAATCTCAGTGAAAAGCAATACAGGTCTCCATGTAGTCTCTGTTCATGGTATCTGAAGAGCCTTCTCTGATAATGCACAGAAGTTAAGATGTGTGAGAAGCTGCAGTGCCCAGTCCTAGCTGAAAAATTTGTGTTTATTTTTTATTATTCTTTTATTCCAAAGTAAGCATCTGGAAAAGGGACATTGCTTAAGTTTTGTTATTTGCTATGCCTTTCTGATGTGCAAAATGGGTATTATCATATTAGGGCACAGCTAAGTTCAATATTCTGCCTCTGAGACTGATTCAAAGAAAGGTGTGAAAACTCCAAATAAATCTGACAATTAGAATCATAGAATCATAAAATCATTTAGGTTGAAAAAGACCTTTAAGTCCATCAAGTCCAACTGTTAACCTAGCACCACCAAGCCCACCACTAAACCGTGTCCCTAAGCACCACATCTACACATCTTTTAAATACCTCCAGGGATGGTGACTCCACCACTTGCCTGGGCAGCCAGTTCCAGTGCTTGACAACCCTTTCTGTGAAGAAATTTTCTGTACTATCCTATCTAAACTTCCCCTGGCACAACTTGGGGCTGTTTCCTCTTGTCCTATCACTTGTTACTTGGAAGAAGAGACTGACACCCTCCTCACTACAGCCTCATCTCAGGTGGTTGTAGAGAGTGATAAGGTCTCCTCTCAGCCTCCTTCTCTCCAGGCTAAACAAGTCCAGTTCCGTCAGCCACTCCTCACAGGACTTGTTCTTTAGGCCCTTCATCAGCTTCATTGCACTTTTTTGGACACACTCCAGCACCTCAGTGTCTTTCTTGTAGTGAGGGACCCAAAACTGAACACAGTATTCAAGGGGTGGTCCCACCAGTGCTGAGTGCAGGGGAACAATCACTGCCTTAGTCCTGCTGGCCACACTATTTCCAATACAAGCCAGGATGCCCTTGGCCTTCTTGGCCACCTGGGCACACTGCTGGCTCATATTCAGCTGTCTGTCAACCAACACCCCCAGGTCCTTTTCCACCAGGCAGCTTTCCAGCCACTCTGCTCCAAGCCTGTAGTGTTACGTGGAGTTGTTGTGACCCAGGTGCAGGACCTGGCACTCAGACTCATTGAATCTCATACAATTGGCCTTGTCCCATCTCTCCAGCCTGTCCAGGTCTCTCTGCAGAGCCTCCCTACCCTCGAGCAGAGCAACACTCACACCCAACTTGGTGTTGTCTGCAAAAGTACTGAGGGTGCACTCGATCCCCTCATCCAGATCACGGATAAAGATAATAAAGCAAACTGGCCCCAATACTGAGCCCTGGGCAACACCACTTGTGACCAGCACCAACTGGATTTAACTCCATTCACCACAAGTCTTAGGGCCCCACCTGCCAGCTCCAGCCAGTTTTTTTACCCAGCTAAGAGTGCACACATCCAAGCCATGAGCAGCCAGTTTTTCTAGGAAATGGGGGAAAAGGCTTACAAGAGTCCAGATAGGCAACATCCTCATCCACTAAGCAGGTCACATTGTCACAGAAGGAGATCAGGTTAGTCAAGCAGGACCTGCCTTTCATAAACCCATGCTGACTGGGCCTGGTTGCCTGGTTGCCTGTAACATGCTGCATGATGGCACTCAAGATGATCTGCTCCATGACCTTCCCTGACACCAAGATCAGACTGACAGGCCTGTAGCTCTCCAGCTCTGCCTTCTGACCCTTCTTGTAGATGAGCATCACATTAGCTACCCTCCAACCAACTGGGACCCAATGATAAATGATTGAAAGTGGCTTTGTGAGCACTTCCGCCAGCTCCTTCAGTACCCTTGGATGGATCCTGTCCGAGCCCATAGACTTCTGTGTGTTTTAAGTGATGTAGCAGGTTGCTAACCTTTGGATTACGGAGTCTTCATTCTGCTCCCTGTCCCTGTCTTTCTTCTCAGGGGGCTGGTACCCAGAGACCAACTGGTCTTACTATTAAGACTGAGGCAAAGAAGGCATTAAGCACCTCAGCCTTTTCCTCATCCTTCGTCACTGTTTCCTCCTGCATCCCACAAAGGATGGAGATTCTCCTTAGACCTCCTTTTGTTGCTAATGCATTTTTAGAAACATTTTTTTGTTGTCTTTTATGTCAGTAGCTGGATTAAGTTCTAGTTGGGCTTTGGAGCTTCTAATTTTCTCTCTGGATAACCTCATGACATCTCTGTAGTCCTTCTGAATTGTCTGCCCCTTCTTCCAAAGTTTATTAACTCCCTTTTTTTTCCTGAGTTCCAGATAAAGCTCTCTGTTCAGCCAGGCTGGCCACCTTTGTTGTTGGCTCATCTTTTGGCGCATGGAAACAGCCTGCTCCTGCTCCTTTAAGATTTCCTTCCTGAAAAATGTCCAGCCTTCCTGGACTCTTTTGCCCCTCAGGACTGCCTCCCAAGGGACTCTGTCAACCAGACTCCTGAACAGGCCAAAGTCTGCCCTCTGGAAATGCAAGGTGGCAATTCTGCTAACCTCCCTCCTTCTCCAAGAATCAAAACCTCCCATTTTGTGATTACGGTGCCCAAGATGACCTGCAGCTATCACATCACCCACAAGTCATTCTCTGTTCACGAACAACAGGTCCAGAGGGGTGCCTTCCCTAGTTGGGTCCCTCACAGCTGTGTCAGGAGGTTATCTTCCACACACTGCAGGTACCTCCTACACTGTTTCCTCTCTGCAGACATCTGGTAAGTTGAAGTCCCCCATGAGAACAAGGGCCAGTGATTGAGAGGCTTCTCCCAGCTGCTTACAGAACATTTCATCTGCCTCTTCATCCTGGGTGGGTGGTCCATAACAGACTCCCACCATGATATCTACCTTTTGGCCTTCCCCCTGATTCTTACCCATAAACCCTCAACCCTATTGTTACCATTATCAAGCTCTAGACAGCGAAAACACTCCCTAACATGCAGGGCTACCCCACCCCCTCTCCTTCCTTGCCCGTCCCTTCTGAAGAGTTTACAGCTATCCATTACAGCACTCCCCTTGTGTGAGTCATCCCACCATGTTTCTGTGATGGCAACTGGATCATAGTTTTCTAGCTGCACATTTCTGGCTTCCAGCTGCTCCTGTTTGCTGCCCATGCTGTGTGCATTGGTGTAGATACTCTTCAGTTGGGCTATTGATCCCATCTTCTTTTTTGGGAGAGAAGTCCTGAACACTGCGTGACCATTCTCAGGCACTTCTGTGGTTTTTAGCATATCGATAACCCTTGAGCCTTTGCCTCATGGATCTCCATCCCCTACGTCCTTTGAGATAGCAGACCAAAGGACCTCATTAGCACACCATCCCTCAAACATGGGTGTGCCGCCCCCAGGCTTATCTCTAGTGAACCTCGTTTTATCCCTTTCCCCCTTCAAATCTAGTTAAAGCTCTTTCAGTGAGCCCAGCTAACTCACATGCAAAGATTCTTTTCCCCTTTTGAGACAGGTGTACCTCATCTGTCTCCAGCAGGCCTGGTGTCATGTAGACCAACCGATGCTCAAAAAAATTCTGACAGTGACACCAGGCTTGGAGCCAGGTATTGATCTGCTGGCTCTTCCTGTTTCTTCCACTCCTGCAAATGGAATGATTAGGGAGAACACTACTTGTGGTCATGATCCCTTAAGCAGTTATCTCAAGGCCCTGAAGTCCCTTTTGACTGTCCTCGGACTTTTTGTTGCAGCTTCATCTCTGCCTACCTGAAAAATCAGTAATGGATAATAATCCAAGGGCCGTACCAGGGTAGGAAGTTTTCTCTCCACATCAGACTCCCCTAAGAAGTGGGTCAAGTCTGTATAGTGGACCTTCTCTTCCCTTTAGAAGGGAGTCTCCTGTGACAATGACCTGTCTTTTCTTCTTTATGTGAGGAGTTTTGGTGCAGAGTGTAGGCTGACTTAACCTTGGCAAGACCTCCAAGCTAGATGAACCATCGTCCTCATTATTACTTGGTTCCCCTTGAAGAGCCTGGTACCTGTTATGCAAGGGCAGATGTGAAGGTGGGGCGGTCACAGAGATGAGGTGTCTGGGCAGGAACTTGTTGCCATTGCCCTCTGTCCCTTAAGTCGCCGTGTTCAGCCAGGCAGAAAGCGGACAGGGAATCCTGGTGTCACACACACACACCTGTCTGCCTGTTGGGCCTGTCCCGGGGAAGGCAGGGTGCGGCTCCAGTAGTCCATCTCTCTCTCACACCCCCTGATACTCTTCAACCTACTCTCCCCCTCCCGGAGCTCTGTCACTCAGCGAAGGAGCTCCTCTCCCTGGGCTCACCTCCCACCGTGGTGCTCACTGCTGCCAGCCCGTCCTGGGGTCAGAGCAGGGCCCGTCCTGCAGCCCGGGCTGCCAGCGTGTCCCTCCGCAGCTCTGTCCAGGCAGCTGCGCCCGTCGCAGCGGGTACGGAGCTTAGAGAGGCCTTGGCTTTCTGCCCTGCGGGTGCCATGGCTCCCTGGTCGAGCTGGCAGAGCCTCAGCGCCCTTCCCATGTGCCCTTCCTGCCACGCCCTTCCCACCACGCCCTTCCCGCCAGGCTTTTCCCGCCATGCCCTGCCACGCCTTTCACACCATGCCCTTCCTGCCACGCCCACTGCCGTGCCACGCCCACTGCCGTGCCACGCCCTGGCCGCTGGCGCCCCCTAAGGGCAGGTTTCATCCATAGGCAGTGCTTGGCCCCAGCCAGGTCCTGTCAGGTGCTGTCACGCAGGTCCTGGCAGCTCTCTAGGGGTGAAATCAAAGACAGGAACACAGGTACCTGTGTCTTTCATTTTGTTTTGCTTTGTTTTCTTTTTGGAGATACTCTCAGCCATCATAACCATGATCTTTCTGGTTCTCTCTACATGTTAAATTTCAGCTTCCTTTTTCTTACAGTTTTCCAAGCACTTAAGACACACAAGTGTCTTCATACAATTACGTGCTTAAAAGAGCATTTCCACATCTCAGTTTTGAGCATCCACTCTTTCAATTGAGTTATTTACTTCCCTTCTGTATATAGCACAAAGAGGATGAGGAATATAATGAATAAATGATAACGTACCTCTGTCATTTCCCTCCTTTTTATTCTATCCTTCCTAAGGTCTTCAGCATACATTGAGGGGCAAGTCCTGACCTTCTTCATTCTTTTTGATCTCCTCTAAGTCCTGCTGTGATTTTGCAGTAAATTTTATTATTATTAACCTGCTCAGGAAATTAAGTCCTCACTCTACTAGATTTTTTTTACAAACCCAGAACAGGAAAATAATCTCTGACCTCAAGTATATTTTGATTTGATGTGGTTCTACTAGTATATACCATATTCCCTAGGAGGCGATTCCATCGGTTCACTGGAAAGCATAATGGTATTCTGGCCACATCTTCCCTTCCTGTCCTTTTGAGCCATGCTGTTGTCTACCAAGGGCTCCAATTCATGAATATACCATTACTCAAGGAAACACACAGATTCTCTCTATTAAGGACAAGGCATCTGTTAGCCCCTTGCAAAACACAACTCCCTTAAACACAATGCTTTATTTTTTTCCTGAATTTCAACTTCAATTAGAATGCATTGTTCTCAGGGGTGCAAGTTGGTGGATCAGATTAATTATTATGGAGTGTCAAATAGCCAAAAAGGGACAGCAAGAGAAGCGGTGTTCTTTCTGAAGAACTTAATTTCCTTTAGTATTTGCCAAAGCAGCTAATATAATTTACTGGGAAAAAAAAATAATAGGACATTCATAATTTTTTAATGAGTTTCATAATTAAAGTCACAAAAATATCCTTTAGCTGGTGTAGCTTTGAGTTTCCAGCTTTCAATTCCTATATTTAAGGTTTTCTTTCTACACAAACTTCATAATTAAAAGGACTTAAACTTCCTAATTCTCTCTGCCTTGGAAACTGGTAGTGCTGTCAAAGTTCCTCATATACCTTGCTAATTAGATACCTGATACAGGGGGCTTGGTCGCCTTGAAAAGAGGAAAAGGTATTTACAATCTGTGAATGATTTAAGTCAGACTAAAAAATACTGCTTTTACACAATATCAGCTTACATTTACTGTCACATGTATTTGCACGATACTGTTATTTGTACAATATACCATAGTCCAGCACCACTGCCAAACATGTGAGATCAAATATGGTAAATTACTGTTGTTGTTGAGGTCTGATACACCAGAAGAAAAACACAAGTCTGAAATTACCGAAAACTTCATGGGAAAGAGGAAAGGAGTTCCCAGAAATATACTGAAAAACGAATGCTTCTCAGTTTCGAAATGAGCTTGCCAGAGCTTTCCAAAAGCAGATGAATGTTCTTGACCTGATGAGTGTTTATCAACTGCGTGTCCGCTTGGCAGTTTTGCTCCCTTGAAAATGTTCTTAATCTGAAGAGCTGAGAAGTCATCCTTTTAGTAAAGGTTCCCATTCTCTCAGTACATCTTTCTTCAATGAGAGATGTGTAAAAAATAGCAGTATTGCTGTGGGATATGTTATCAAAAGGAGGATACAAGATATCTAGAGAATTACATATTTGGATGTACCTGTCCGTGCACAGGAGAACAGAGAATTTGCCTGGGATATTTTTAGTGAAATTTCTTCTAGTTAGAAGTGTTTCTCAGTTCTTTCACAGTGTTTAAAAATTCCTTTTTACAAACAGAACCGGCACAGAATTAAGTAATATCACAAGGGCAGGCAGATGCTTCAAGCTTTCTGTTAATCTCAGAAGAGAAAACAAAGTTAGCTTTGGAGTAATTGCAGCGACTTCAGCTTGGTATCTTAAATAGCAAATACTGTTCCCTGCTGAGTAATGAAATATCTCCGATACAAATCATACATAAAATTTTGCTTTCATTTTTCAGTTGCTTTATAATACTTACTAGGTAATATAAGTCCTGGCTAACATGAGTGGGAGTTTTAAGGATACAATAGCTGCAGCTGGAAAAACTGAATCAACAGGTTAAAGCCCTGGTTGCATGAAACCCCATATGTTTTTGCAGGAAAGGAAAGTCTGTTTTACAAGAATCATTGTTCCATTGTTTTTTGGGGCAGGGATTGTGGTTTTGTTCTTTGTTAATACAATGCCTCACACAACTGATTCTTGATCCCTGATTAGAGTCTCTTCAGTGCTACAGCAATCAAAAAATAAATAACAAGAATGGCATTTTAAGGCTCTGGTACTGTAAGTTACTTGTCCAAAGCCACAGAGTGAAATGATGCAGAGCCAGATTTAGCACACAAGGAATTTCTTTTACCCAGTCTCAGCCTCAGACAATTATTTTGCTTCTCTCTAGCAAATGACCTTGTCTGATGTGCTTCGATACATCACGCGGGTCTTGGCATGTCACTGTCAGCACCTCTGCTCCTCTGAGTCACTAGGAAGGCAACTGGACAGCAAGCAGCTCCTTCCTTCTAGGTTTGATGGTCATGATGAAGCCTTCAGAAGTGCAGAAGTAAACCCTGGGAATTACTCAGATGTGTTAGGTGATGGGCAGGCTAGCATGCTTCAGGACTGACAGCTGGGAAGGACCTCAGCATGAGGCACTTTTTGGCAGAACTTGGTGCAGACCGAGTAGCTGAAACAGAGCTGGTAGCATGGTCTCAAGTCAAATGACTTTTTTTTTCCTGACAAATATGTAAAAGTAATTCATTGTTTTGCATTGCACTAATGGCTGCAGAATGATAATCCATTCAAAAGACAAGTCATTATTCCTGGTTTCAGTCATTTATGAGGGACCAGGAGTGTGTCTGTACGTGTCATAGTTTAACCCCAACTGCAACTAAGCACCACACCAGCCACTCTCATCCCCCCACCCGTCTGCGATGGGAAGGAGAATCAGAAAGGACAAAAAGTAAAACCTGTGAGTTAAGAACAGTTTAATAATTGAAATACAATTAAATATAATAACAACAACAATAATAATTGTAGTGAAATGGAAGACAGCAAAAAGAGAGATAAAAAAGCCTGAAGACCAGTGATGCACAGTGCAGTTGCTCACTACCTGTTGACTGATGCCCAGGGGTGCCCAATGTGAAGCACGTGATCTGGGCTGTCTCCTGGGAGGTGCCTCTAACTATCTCCACAGATTTCAGGAGGAATCTCAGAAGTAGGACGGTATTTGGATACCCACCCACTCCTTGCAGTATGTCTTCAATGCAGGTGCTCTGCACTCATATTTTGCCTCGTGATTATGTGGGTATGGTATTCTGCCCTTGCATTGAATTCAGTTGATCTCTTATTCAGAAAAATACTTTCCTTAGCTCGGGAGAAGAGATTACTAAACGCAGTGTGTATCCCACCTGTCCGACATGATTACTTCCAGCAAAGTCAATAGAACTATTTTTGCAGGATGTGGTCCAGCGTTAACAAATTCTTTAAAGCATAGGAGAAAAAACGTGTGTGTGCCTTTATATGCTGGAATTTATCCATTTTCAGGGAGTATTAAGGACCATGAGAGAGTCCCATTAAGGGCATAGTGTACAGAGGGTATGAGGCGTAGGACAGGGTAGGATGGAATAGGAGGAGAGGAAGGGAAATAATGTCAGTCAGGCAAATAGGGGAACTTGTCCAAGTAACTTCTCCAAATGTTTGAATGTGTCCAGTGAACAGTTTGGGGCTTTCTTGAAGTTACAGTTTAAGGAATGAAATTATTATAAAAATAATGTTAGAGGTGGGTACAGGCTGCAAATATGTTAGTTTTTCTGAAAAAACAAACTAATCAAAAATCATTTCCTCTTCTGTTTCTTTGCCAAGACCTATTTTCAGGACTCTATGCTTCCCCTCAAGCAGCCAATGAAATCTTGGGCACCTAAAACAAATAAAGGCAGTATACTTAGGACTTGGCGGTAAAAAAATTAAAAAAAAAAAAAGGAAATTATTTTTAAATATTTTGCTTTAAAATATTCTAGATTGTAATTTTTATATTCATACACATTTTGTTATTAATTTTGGCTCATAAATAGTTCTCTTTATAAAACAACTTAACCATCAGCTTTCATATGCAACTCAGATCCTGTATAATCTTAGGCTTCTCTGCTTGCTATTTCCAGGACACACACAGGACCAATTCTCTTTAAAACCTGGATGTGAGGTACATCCGGGTTGAATAATGACAGTGTAAATCATGTTTGCTGCTTACCCAGGGCTGCCATGCACAGTGAGTAGAGCCATGCTCTTTACAGTTCTCACCTTGTGTGCGTGCCACTGTAGCTGCTGAGTTCATTCCAGAAGCACATCAAATCGTACAACTGGTGTCTCTTCCACATAATGTTCACTCTGCCCCTCCCAGAACCAAAAATGTAGGTGGTGGAGTCTCTCACTCTGCAGAATGGTGCTAGAGAAATGCTTGGTAATGAGTTTGATTTGTTTGGATTTTTCTAATTCTTCTTTTCATTGTTGTTTTATAATGCACATCTTGCTGTCTGCATGGAAGATGGCAAAGTGAGAAACTAGGCTTTTTTGGGTTGTGACCCTCCTTCTGCAAGTATTCAGGCCATCTGTCGAAGTCACAGTGGCTGTCCATGTGCTGGAAGTTACATACATGCATTTGTCAGATCGAAGTTTGAACTACTGTTTCACTTGAGCAAAGGTGGCACATGTCCCTCATAGAGTGATATCAATTCACAGGTTACAAAATTTATTCCATTAAAAATATATATAAAGGAAAGGATAAGGAAAAAGGAAATGTGAAAAAAATATTGTTAAAAATGTAAATAAAATTCCTGTGTGAAATAAGTTTTAAGTAAGGATTTAAAATAAAAAAAGAACTGTAATTATTTAAATTTTATTCCCAGTGTTTGTAATGCTTTGCTAATATATTGCTTTTTTGCTCTTTCACAAAATGTCTGTATTATCACTCAGATATCTCAGACACCTTGATAGACTCATCCGTAAGGCATTCCCCATTCCACTTCTATGGAAGCTGTCTGGGCAGCCATCCAAACAATAGTTAAAGTCATTAGAGCCTGGTTGCAAACACATAAATAAGTGTATTTTAGCGTTCTTTTGAGTATGTTCTCTGGACTGAATGTGATGTCCTTATGTGGTCACAGGCTTGAATAAGGAACCAGTTTATCTATACTGGATTCTTCAGTAGTGTCTCATGACTGTGGAGACATTGCCTTTGACTAAGAAAATAGTAGCCGAGTTTAGGCTGGTAAAAGTCATCACAGAAGCAGGGATATTTTAAGATATGGGCAGGAGAATGATTTACCACAGGGAAGCTAATATATAATCTTGCAGCTTGTCAGCCCCTCTGTGCAAGTCTTGTTAATGTGTGGGAAGTTCCCGGTAACTGACTCCCTCACAGAAAGTGGGACAATCTATCTCCCATGTTGTGCAAGGTCATGTGTGAGAGGTATGCCCCAGCTTACCTCATGTCAGCCTCCTTGTCCCCTTTTAAATTCTTTGTCACCATTCAGTCTGACCTGCCTATGTTTCCACACATACTTGGATGAAGATCCTCTCAAGAAGCAAAGGGGATGTTGCTCAGATGCTTTTAGCTATGCTTTGATACTTCTCATAGTGCAACCTTTAAATGCTTCTGTGTCAGTGGTGGGTAAAGTGATTCCTGTCTGATGCAATTTCATAGTGTAACAATTAAAACTGTAAATTGTTTTATCAGCCCTATTTTAAATAATCTCTACATGCCCCCCAAAAGAATGTTAAGACTGCAAAGAGAAACATACAGGAGTTGGGAAATACCACAGAGAAGGTCCCCTCTTGCTTTTGTGCATCATCTCTTTGATTAAATGGACTGTGCACTGTTTTCAACCCGCTTCCCATCTTGCTGATGGCACAAGATGAATACCGTTAAGGGATAGCATGAAGTGAAGTGGAAGACACCACTGTCCGAAGGACACCCAAGCTATCTATTTTTTTTTTTTTTCAGGAAATGGAGGCAGCATCATGAATGAAGCAAGAAATTACAGCTGGAAAGAGGCACTGTTACAGATAGGCAAGATGAAGCTGTTCGAGGGAATTAATACCGTCCCTTCCTTTTCTCTAGAGTCACTGTGTAACAGTAGACTGTAGCCAAATATTGAGCTAAGATATTCACAGGGAGCTTCTAATAATGAGTACACAGTTTTGGGGGGGCTTAGAGAGTGACCCTTGGGTCTCCTTTGTGAAAGGTGCAGAGCATGCATGAGGATGCTTTGAGTTGTGCTTTGAATGACTTATCATCTGATAGATAATGCTAAGTATGCTGGAGAAGTGTGGCTTCTGGTGTCTCTGGCTGTGTATTAAAATCAGTTGATACTTCTGATAATTTGGATTTCAGTTTCTCTCTGTTTCTGTCCCCAGTTACAAGGTAAGGATCATACCACCTCATTTTTATAGCTATGAAGCAAAGTCACAGTGTTTGTGGTAGACCCAACTGCTATAACTAGTAACTAGATGAAAATGTCCATGAAGAGGTTTATCATCTCTCCTCAGAGCAGGAATCAGTCACTTCATACTCTACAGAAGATAGTTTTTAAAACCTTATTAACTATCCATTTTGTTGACCTCAGTTTCTGGCCTCTCAAGCTCACTGATCTCCACACATTTCCATATCTCTGCCTTAGTATTTTGCTCCTCTGATTTCTCCTTTGTCTACTTCTTGAGTCTGGTGGCTTCCAAAGTGAAACTTTGTCATTAGGACAGAGAGCTTCTCAGTTCTGCACTTGAGACCATGCACTTCTCCCTTCACTGGCATGTTCCACTAAGCTACATGGGTCACCATGGAGGAGCAGCAGTGAGGATGACATATACCACATCTAACCAGCACAGAGAAAGGCTCTACCACATTCATGGGGAATTGAATCTGTCCAGCCTGTGCAAACAGGTTTTTTCAGAGGCTTATAAGTTAGCCAAATCCGGGCAACTTTTAATAAAAACTTTTCCCCTGCCAAATTTCAAGTCCTTTCTCCAAAACATGGAGGCACTAGAGCTTTTTAATGAAACAGTTATTAAAAAACAAAACTAGGAATAATAACATGTTTTTCTCCCAGTTGTTCTCAGAAAAGTTGTTCTGTTGTTCTCAGAAATGGCTGAAGCAGTTCAGCCTGATTATTTATTTTGGAAAGAGTTAGCTGAGACAGACTTTAAGCATGGGAAATTTCAGCCCAATTGGTTAGCCTTTCTCAAAGTTTGGCAAAGTGTAATGTAAGTGAAAATGATCTTATACTGAGAAGTCAAAGGCAAGCTTACTTATTAGCATTACTATCCTTGCTGAGTATAGAAAAAGACTATATTAACTGATCTTTTTTTTAATATTTCAGATTCTTTGAGTATATATTGCTCTACAAAGATGCAGTGATGTTTCAGATTGAACAAGTTACAAAGCTTTGCTCAAAGATTGCTCTGACAGAGCCATGGGATCCATATGATATTCCTGCCAATTCAACTTACGAAGATCAATACTACATTGGGGGACCTGGAGACAAAATTATGGTACAGGAATGGTCTGACAGAAAACCAGCCAGGAAGTGTATGTGCATGCTTTTGTTTCATCTTAATAATAATCATTGTCTCTGCTACCCAGGAAAAAATAAGATTATTCACGTTTCACCCCAGCTTTCCATAGTTTATAAGGTTTGCTGGAAGAAATAAGAAATATACCCTGTGCACAATGTATCATTTTATTATCAATGTATTTTTTTTAACAAAATTTCATATCTCAGATGGATCAAGGGACTTGATTGTATTTTAGTTCATATTATACAGATTTTGGCATGGAACAGCATCATTTTGCCTCTGAATCTAGCAGCCAATATCCTAAATTGATCTAAAGAAGAACTGGTACTATAATTAGGGGCACACTCAAACTAGAGAGTGCATAATAGAAGCAAAGCAGGTGTCACTGTGTGTCTACACACTACTATCAGATGATCTCATAGAATACATCCAATAAATAGTTCTGCAGCAATGGACATTCTTAATGTGCACCTAAGTTTTGTTATCTGCCACACTAGTAAGAAAAATCTGTTCTCAAGTCTTAGTTCTGCACTTAGCAGCTGAACACCTACCTCAAAGAAAGCAGGCTTGGTAGCATCATACTTTAATTTTTTATTCAAAATTCTGATAGAAGATTTGTTGAGGAAAACGAGCCTTCATTTCTGGATACTCAAATCCAAACTCATTGAGGCCAGAATGTTTTTGGTATATTAGGATGCCCTGGAGAGGTATGTTCATATACTGCACAGCTTGTCAACCTTTCTTTAGGTACTGTATGTGTGTTTCATGTCACAGCTTATCTATTTCTGATAATGTGGTTGCCATACAGCATATGACACAATACTGAAAGGACAGAAAATAAATATGTTCGATTGCTACTGAGTGTGAGAAAATAAACCTCCTTGGGACTGGAAAAAGTTGTTACAGGCATCACTCAGAGGAACTGATTTATGACCTCAGTAGATAATTTTGTATTTTAACCTCATGAGTTTCTGCTATCAAGAGATCTCAAATACATAAACCAAATGGATGAAGTGGTGTACGATGGAAGGGGTAAAGAAAGATCACAGAAGAGGTGCATGGAGTTAATAAAAGAGATTTAAAAGTGAAGGGTAATCAAAGGATACCATTTTGATAGTACTGACTACTGAAATAGCATAGTCATGGATGTAGAGGTGAGGCAGAGGCTGCGGGGGAAAGAGAGTGAAGGAACACCTCTGAAATAAGCACATTGTGGAATTAAACTAAGTTAAAAAAAGGGACTGACTACATCACATATGTGGAAGAGATCAGCATTGAGTGAAGTCTTGAAATAATGAGCTGGTAGAAATGTTTGAGAGGAATAGGAATTAAAAAATTAACATGGTAATGATGATAGATGATGGTAAATGGAAGGAGTGAGTTAAAACAAGGCAGAGGTACTGGAGTTGTATTTGGGAATGTTGCTCTTTTAATGAGACAATCCCTCTGTGCTTAAGACAGTAAGATGGAAAAAGGTGAAACAAGGTCGTGTTTATTTGGATTAAAGATGTGGTGAGTATCACCAGTGTAATAATGACAGTTAAGACTATAGGACCAAAAGCTGTGGAAGCAAGTTGCTATGTCTGTCAGTTGTAGTGCAAAGGAGTCCCCGGCACAGCAGAGAAGTGCTTTAGGGTCATTTAGATTAGATGTTGGGGGCTATGGTGTAGGGGAGAACTTTGTAGAGTAGGGCTGAGGGTTGGACTCAATGCTCCCAAGGGTCTTTTCCAACCTGAATGATTCTTTGCTTCCTTGGGTAGTGAGTGCAGAACTTCCTGTGCACAGAAAGGAATCAGACGTCCCACATAATTAAGGGGACTGTTTTAGAGTGCCAAAGGCTGTGTGGAAGGCCAACACTGCTTTCACTAATCACACCTTTGAACTTGTCAAGAATGTAAGATGAAACGCCCCCGTGCTACCGAAGCTGATAGCACCAAAATTTGCCTTCTGGGAAAACAAAGCATTTCATTGCTTTACTAGTGAAGTAAATGCTGACATGAAAGTGGCATGAGAGATGGGAGAGATAAGACTTGTGCAGAACAGAGCTAAATTTGGGACTAAGCAGAACTGTCGATCCTTCAGTACACGTATACTTGAGAGGTGATGTACTGATGCCATGACAGTATCATGATTTGAAATGTGCTTGACACCAAGATGTTCAGGTTTAAGATCATTGCAGTGTCCAAATTATACCAGTTTTGTGGCCTTTCTTGGTGTTGCCATTCATACGGACAGAACTATGGGCAGTTTCAGCCTATAGGCTTGAGGAGTGGCTGGCTTTTTGACTGACATCATTGTGATACATTTATTCATTCTTGTCATCTAAAGTAGTTGCATTTCTGCTTGGTTACAGTGGAATCCTGGGTCGGTGTTTACACAGTCAAAGACTGTTACCCAGTACAGGAAACCTATACAAAGAACTACAGCGTGACAACCTCCACTCGCTTTTTTGATCTACAGCTGGGCATTGCCGACCCCTCAGTGTTTACCCCACCCAGCACCTGCCAGACAGCCCAGCTGAGGAGGATGAAAGATGAATGCTGATTATGGACACTGGCTACCCCAGGCAAACAAATATTATCGAAGAGGATGGTTATTTATAGTCAGCTGCTGACGTCTAACCTGATTTTTCAAGCTTATTGTTGCTCTTTTGGGAATTGTAAGTTTTCACTTGAAGAGGAACATAAACATTTAACTGAGTAAAATATGTAACACAAAAGATATCTTTCATCACATTAAGCTGTTCAGTGATGCACTTGCAGTTTTATATAGTTAACACTAAGACAATATTTATAGATATTATTTATTTAAGCTGTGGATGATTTTCCTTTTACAAAGGTTTCATTATTTTTCAAGAAGATAAAGCATAAGCAGACTGCAATAATGGTAACATCTAGAAGGAAAAGCTAGATTCTGTTGTTGTTACTTCTGGGAACTTGAGGGAAGGGGAAATATGTCCTGGGTAAGGCTTCATCCCTCACTGAAAAATACCCCATTTTAAAAAATGTACATCAAAACTGTGGGAATTCATTCTCTTGCTTTTGTTTTGCTTTGTGTTTGTTTCTTTCTGCCCTTCAGGAAGCTGGTAGTCTAATGTTTGAGATGATTTTTTTCTTTCTGAAAAGAAACTGGAGTAGCTCTATTCATGTAATGCTAGCTGGCATACAAAAAATACTTTTCTGTTTCTTGGGAGAATGGCGTGAAAGGAAGGGGAGGAGGGAGAGGTAAACCCCCCAAAAAGTAAGCCAAATTTTTCTTGCATTTACTACACTTTTGGTGGGTGTGATGAGACATTTTTCAGTCATATTTTACTTTAGCACCCACTTTTCAAGGCAATACTAGTTTTAACCTATGCAAAGAGATTAAGAGGTACTGCACTCTAAGTGGCTTTAGTATTTTGTAACTATTTTCAAAAGTCTTTACTCAAAGAGTATGGAAACACCTTTATAATTCCAGGTAGAAATGAAAAAAATCCGTTCTGAGTGGGTAACTAGTAAAGGCTAAAATCAGCATTCACACAGTGCCTGGTGATCTGGATGGAGTGAAAGACAGAGCTGTGTGACCAGTGTGGGGAGGTGGGAGGAGGAATGGGAAGGAGAGGTTTTAGACATCCTCTGGGCGATGTGACTGCAAGGTACTGCAGTCTGAGAATTTACAGTCTCACTTTCTTTTGCACCCACCTTATTGGTGCCTGCCTTATTTGCTGTTCCGTCATCATCTCAAACCATCATCTCCACATACTTTTCTGGTGGGCAGAGTGAAAGTTTCCTTAAATAAATAAATATATTTAATAAATAACCAAAAAAGCGCAAGAAGCGCACATATTTTGCTTTAGAAAATTCAAACCAAATCTTCATGCACCTTCAGGCCCTCAGAAGTGTGGAATGATGATGGGTTTTGCACTTTTACCAAATGAAATGAATTGGCTTGTTCCGTAAGCTTAGGCATGCATTTTATTTATTATTTGCAAGTACATTTAAAGCCAGATTCATGTCCTCTTGCATGTGTTGGGTAGTTGTTTTCTCCAGAAGTTGTATGACTGAAAACAGTGCAACACTGGGAAGTTTAGTGTCTCTGAAGGAGAGATGCTGGGCAGGCCTTTAGTGCTTTTTATGCTCATAGCTTTTTGTACGTAAGCAAGTGGTACAGCAGTTATTTTGCTTTCACAGTTGTGGTCAGAACAGCATTCTACTTTGCCTTGTGCCTAATGAAAGCATATACACATACCTACTAAAATTTAGGTGGTTCTTTAAAAATTTTTTCTCGGACATGACTATTACACTGAAACATGCTAGTGGAAAGAAGGATTTGGTTTTGTTAAATTTAGAGTTCATTTAGCCTGTACTCGCCTTCTGTATTTTTTGTGACAACCTAAATGCTAACTACATACTGTTCTCATTAGGGTAATTATTAACATGCATTTCTTAATATCTGTGTCTTGTTAGAATCTGGAAAATATAATAAATCTGGCTAACAAACATGAAGCTGTGGTACTGTATCGTTTGGGACAACTGTTGTGGTAGAGCAGATAGCTGAGTAATCAGGGTGTTTGTATTATGTTTTGCTGACAGTGATATAATTTCTAGCAATAACATTAAATGTTCATTTAAATATGAATTTGCAAAATTCTGGTACACAGAAGTGCTTTAAAAATGTTGCCATGACATACAGGGCAATTTTCTATGGCTAAATATGTACCTCTAAAACAATGCTGTTGTCTTTGTATTTATGCTCTGCAGATTCAATAAAGAGAGCTGTGAAAGAGATGCCAAACAACAAATTTTTAGATTACATGTTTTAAATTAGCCACGACCCAGGTATAAAGCATGAAATGTATATGCGTGGTTTGTTATCTTTGTTACCATTTGTTAGATGCCACAAGAGACTTTTCGTCTTCATGTGACTATGCCAATGGCTCCATAACAACGAGCATGAAAGGACTTTAAAGTAGCCATACAGTGTGCTGCCACAGTAAAGTGAAAATGGGGTTTTAAGATGTCTGATAGTCTGGGGAATTTGTTTATTACAGATATCTGGTAAAAAATTAATAATAAATTGGTATGTACATGAGTTGCATTGTATTCTGTTGGGTAACAGTGGTAGAACCTGCGAGCTGGATAGCCTGTGAGACAAAGCCGTTTTTGTGAGATTTCCAGTGCTTCCTGGTTTCAGCTGGGCCAGAAATAGTGCAAACATAGATCTGCCTGCCATATTTTTGTATTTCTGCTTGGAGGCTTCGCTGAAAGCAGGATGTGCAGAAACACAACATTGTTTTATTTAAAGTTAACTAAACATTCCTGAACCTCAAAACAGGTTTAGTTTGAGTTTGGGGAGGAGATCTGGACATTTGGTTCAGTTCCTATTTTAACAGTTTGCTTAACTCTAGTATTAGGGTCAGATTTTACTGCCTCAAGCCATGCTGCACACCATGGAAGTGCTGCCATTTACCAGGGCATGCCAACTTTCATGAAGAATGTAGGAAGATATACAACAATCCATAGTCAAAGAAAATTTTAGTCAAGAAATCTCTAAACAATACAATATTCTTACTTTGGGACACTCTAACAAAATTAGTGTGTTTTCCACCTTGAAGTTAATTTCATTCTAGTGCTCATGCTTACTCCTCACAACCTTGCATCTCTTTACCCACCACCCTTTACTTCCTAATGTCAGTGGAGTCCACTTCAGAACAGCATTTACAACCCTCAGTTGCATTTATTTCAGTAGGAGTTCAGCACCTAAATACCTGATGGATCTGATTTGGACCTGACCTCTTTAATTTTGTCAGCAGTCTCATCTCCAGTGCAAGAGCAGAGCCAGCCATAACCAAACATGAACAATATATGCCATACTACATGTAGGTGATCAACAGTAAGCATAGCATTGGCTCAGGTGCAATTGCCAGTGCCTCGAAATCCCAATTGCTAAGCGGTGTCGGTGCGGCACCTGCATCATATCCTGCATCCTTGGCTACAAGTTGGTGCTGGAGACAAGCCGCAGGATGTTCCCAAATGTCAAAAAGGCACGTAAGGAAATCATCAGCTAGTTGTCTGCTCCCTAGTCATGAGGAATAAAGATTTCAAAAGAGCACCCCCACAAAAAGACAGAGGTCCCTGGCTGTAAAGATCCTGAGGTCTCTCTCAGCTACCTTTCCAGGAGGCAGCATGTACAGACTGGACTCAAGCACATAGAGATTTAATCTTCACATCGACACTTAGGCATAGGATCAAATGGAAGGCTCTTTAAACACTTCTAAACATTTACTGCTTTGTAAGGGGAGAGGGAGAAAAGCTTGTGATTCAATGAGTAGTCTCAGAAAACAGTGACAGATATGTAGGATAAGAATGCTGCTATGAAGCCGCTAGGGTAAATATCCAACCATTACTTTGAGCGCATACTGGTTTAACATGCTCAGGGTAAAGACCCATGTGGTTTCAGCATAGAACCTGAAACTGCATACTGAATGAAATGATGAATGTAGTTACAGTATGATATTTTGTATGAAGTAAGGACAAGTAGCCCAGCAGTGCACATTTTGCAGGCATGAGATGAGCGAGCGGCCGGTGACCCGCCTGTTCAGCTACAGGAATGTATGTGCCTTTCAGGAGGGGCGCTGCCTGCTGCCACTGAGCGTGCCAGAGGACAGAAGGATTACTCTTCTCACCACCTGGTACGTGGGAACCCGCTTCAGGCTCCTTCCTTTCCCACTCTGCAAAGCAGGAACAATAATTTTGCTTTCTACTTGCTCTTGTCTCCATGACTGTGATAGCTCTGGGCCAACATCCCCGCCACAGCCAGTGGGGCCCGCAGAGGCCTTGAGTCATTGCTGCAGTGGCACAAATGTCACGCAGGGTTTCCAGCCACTGCCTTACAGTTTGTTATAAAATTATGCGTGTGTATTGCACGTGTGGGCTTAATCTTTGCACCCCTGTGTGCTCACTCAGTGCATGGGCTTGTTGCTTATGCGTTCAGCACCTGGCCGCCATCATTAATTGGGCTCGGCTCAGGCTTCGTTGACGCCAGGCAAAGAGGCTCGCGAGCAAAAGGAAAGGAGAGGAAAGGAAAGCCTGCTGGGTTCACCGCACTCCCCACCGAGGTTTTTCCCACGCTTGCCCAGCACTGATAAACAGTTTTGACGTTCCTGAAACAGCAGCAGCTGAGTTGCCAGCTCTGCGTTACAGCCCATGTCACGCTGAAGGAAAGGGTTTGGTTTCACCCTCTGCACTAAAATTATCCTTCGGGCCAGGCCAGGGACTCTGTTTTGTTTTCAGTGGAGAAAGCATGCGCGCTCTCATTGCCCCCACTGCTGCCACCCCAGCCTGTCTACCAGGGGTTTGTGCCCATGCCACCTGCCCCCACCCAGTGGTTTGTGACAGCCCCCTGGGTGGCCACACAGTGCTCCTCATCCTGTCCCCACTGTCCCCTCTCCATCCCCCACTCCCCAGAACAAATAAGGGTCTAGCAGGGACCTTGCTGTGCCCACACACAGGGCTGGTGGGTCGTCTTCACTTCCCTATGGGTCTTGCAAAGATGTGGGAAAAGCCCTTCCTCTCTTGCCAATGACTTTTTACAGTTAATTTTTTATGTGGTTGCTTCAGCTGGTGCCTTTCTTCTTCTGTTGCTACTGTTAATTTGCTGGGGCAATTTGTCATAGGAATCCTGAGCTTGTTTTTTGTTTACCAACCTCTTGGAGCCAGGCAGCAGCCCTTGATTACTACTGCAATAACACATACTCAGCAACTTGTATAGTGATAGAGATTCTTGATATTGGCAGCAGCTAATAAGCACACAGGGGGTGGAAATACTGAAAGTAACACTGAGTGACAGCAGAGATCCTGCTACTGGTGGCTGAAGTGACAACCAAGTACCACAACAGTGTTAAACCTCTGGGGAGGGGGCTTTGGAGAGGCTGTAGACACTTCCCCCAAGAAATACCCCAGACCTCTCAAAAGGAAAATCAGGAGCTATGCTGGGCAGCCCGTATTGCATTCACTTTATCAAAGTACTTTAGTATCTTGTACTAAATCCTGTATGCGTGACCATAGCTCGCTCTTGAGCAGTTGCTTCACAGAAGGACAGAAAAACAGATGTTTTCTCCCAGCATGATTCTACAGAAATGATGCGAAACAGTTATCGGCTGAAAATGTGGACTTTTGAATTAAAGAAACGGAATGTAGAAAGTTCCAAAGACTTGCAGTGAAACAAAAGCTGTATCTATAAAACAATCTGTAGCTTTAAGCTAAAGATTTTCAGCCTTAGAACTTCTACTTTAAAGTAAACAAATAATGCAGCTTGTCAGAATGGCTGAACTGAGTAACTACTCTCAACTGGCATACAGCTTTGAAAGATGCTCCTTCTGTTGTGGGCTTGAAGAGGGGCTTTTGCCTAAAGTTTGATGCTTTTTCCAACCATGTCAGTTGAGTTAATTAAATAATACACTGCCTCGTCTTAAAAAACTTGTCCTGTCAAAGGGATGGTGTTTCTTTACTTGTGTGTACATTTGGTGTTCTGCAGATTTAAAAAAAAAGATGATGGATTATGCCAGCACAGGATCAGTCCTACATTTTTTTCAGTAGAATGTGCTTGCTTGAACACAGGGCAGACTATGAGCTACGGGCAGTGTCCCTTATCATGGGAGAAAGCTTAATCAAATTGTTGACATTTTTCCCTGTTTCCAGCTTGCTTGGACATCATAGACTGGAAATCCCATTCAGGAATCTATAATGTTCATGTTCTATGTAAATGAGAATGAAGGAAAAAAAAAAAAAACAGTGAAGAGGTAAGATGAGGCAAAATTAATGTATGCCAACAGAGTGGTAGCCCAGAAATCAGGCAACCACACCTCAAATAAAAAAAAAAAAACAAAAACAAACAAACAAACAACAGAAAAACAAACCAACCCCAAACAACAAAAAGAAAAGCGACAGAGAAGCATCTTTGCCTGCTACTTCTCAGACTGTTTTAGGGCTTATAGAAAACACATGGGGGACCAAATCCCAATTTAAAGGTTCCTAAACATCAACATTTCTTCTCAGGCAATACAAATCCCTGAAAGACCAGACCAGCATGACAGAATACCCGTGAGGTTTGCTCATGCAGAAACTGTTCACTCAGTGCCTGACAACCCTGTGGGGCCCAGGGCAGAGACTTCAGGTGCCCCATGGAGGGAAGGAGGTTTTGGGTGGATTTGATCTTTCAGACTCACTTCAAGGAAGTACTACACATTTGCACCACCCCCTGAAGTGGATAGATTGAATGCGACATCATCTCTAGACAGTGGAAATCAACAGTCAGTGCTTATGATCCTGTTCATTCCTTTCCAAGAAAAGTTTTCTTAAGTGAGCTGCTGAATTTGAACATTGAGAGCGCCTAACTCCCTTCCATTTAATTTCCACCTTGTGCGAGCTCACGCTGACAGAATGATATTGCCCTTGGGATTATTTGTTCCAACAGCCTCACTCCTACAGATGTGATGAAAAGGACA